GTTGGAACGCGCGGGAGACGCAAGATAATGGGATGTGTGGATGCGTGGATTCGGTTCATTCATTCGAATGCCTTCGGCTGGTTGAAGGTACGAGTAGGTAGGTTGGTATTACAGAAGGCGAAATAAGGAGGTGAGGAGCTGATCACCACCGCTCACGGCTGCAGATCTACACGACAGTCTTTTTTACTTCTTTACCTCTTTCACACACACACACACACATAACACATGCTTTTATCTTCCAAGCGAGAACTGACAGCGGGTGTGCTGATCAACATCACTTGCACTTTTGTTTCATACTTGCTTCCGTATTTATTTTTACTTCCACGTTTAAAACGTCAGTTTTCCACGGTTTAATGACCAAAGTTGTGACTAAAATACTTTAATCACGAGTTTTAGTCACAGGGTGGAGTTTTACGTAGAAGTAGAAAAAATACCGTAAACATTTAACATGGTTTTGAGACACAAAAAGTGATACTTTAAACACGGATAGTCAAAGTCGTGACTAAAGTACTTTATTCGTGGATTTTAGTCACGGGATGAATTTTAACGTAGAAATAAAGTGAAAGAAGAAAAAAATGCGTAAACATCACGTGACTAAACCATTTTAAACATAAAAATACGATGTTTGTATACTACCGCCATCTGGTGCTTCAATCCATAGATAATTTCTCAACTACTAACATAACTATTAACACAACATAGAATGGAGGTGTGCCACGCGCCAACAGACGCATTCCGGAACAATTTACAATAGAAAACCAGGAAGTACCAGCCCGACACGCGTCTCACCCTTAAAAGGGTTCAGATGTTCCAAGTGTTTGCTCTGCATTCAAAGGTGTATTGAATAGTTGGGTAGAAACATCTTCAGGTATCACGACGCGTGTATGGAGCGTGCGTATGTGTCCACATGTCATTAAAGGGGTCTAAGGTTGGATTTTGGGCACGTGGCGTCGATTACCGGAAGGTTTCCTTTTAACTCTTTCCAACAATTTAAATCTGATTTCCTATATATCACATTATGTTTTTTATACGGTTTTTATATGCAGCATGTCATTTACCGTTTATCGTTTGTGGATTGTCGTTTACTGTGGAACCAATGGTAGTACTAGGGGTGTAAATGTAGAAGGGTTGAAATTGTATTCAACCACCATATGCATAGTACGTGTATGTATGTAAATGGTTAAACGTGGCGAATGCAGAGGGTGGCAGAGGGTTGAAATGATAAAAAAATGTTTTCACGCCTTTGACAGTTTCGTTTTCACGCGCATCTGTAACACGCGCGTCGTAAATTCTGCAAAATTTATTTTTTTAACCCTTAAATTTTGATTAAAATATTAAATTTTATGTCTAAGGATTATTCTCAGAGTCAAAATTAAAATTTATGAATCTGAATGAATATGAAGGTTACAAAGGTCAGCGACTGATTAAATACGTAAACATAGACACACACATACATCACTAGATGCATGGGAAAGCAAAACAAGATGATTCATGATTCATCCCTAGCTCTTTGTTCTTCTATGCAGCCCTCGCAGCGCATTCATCTCCGGCTAATAACAGTGTCCCTGATGCATGCAAATCCTCAATATACACGTCGCGTCCATATCGATCCAGGCCTTGTATGCATACTGCTGACATTAATTTTGGGGTGGAAATCACCCCAAAAACGAAAATTACTAATGTATGTGCATAAACAGAGGCTGGGACCTAGGCAAGCGTACAGAATGAGAAATGAAGACAGTCGTAGAGTTAAAATGCGAAAATTTAATTAGAAATAGTTTTAGATGCCATTTTAGTAGGGTTTAGCTTGTAATATGGTTTGTTCATTAATAGATGGCGCTAGAGGGAGAATAATGTTGATAAATTTGCAAAAATTTAATATTTTTCTTTTAGCTTATAGTCTTGAAGATATTCTTTTATATAAAAAATAAGGGATATAAAAAAGGATGCCGTTTATATACGCCATCCCCGCAGGGTGCATCGCGCGCTCATCGGTTATTCGATCCCGGTGGCGCATATAACGGCCCTATCCTGACGGCCCGCGCGATATTCAGATGAGGGGCGCGCAGTCGCGCTTCCGCATTACGTATGCACCAATGCGCGAGGGTGGCGGCGATTTTACTTTAAAACGCGCTGCCATTGGCCGCCACCGCCGCCGCCAAAATCAAATCTCACCCTATCATATAAAAAACGTACCTAAGTGTATCATATTCAAAATTTACACCAATCAAAACATTTTTAGTCTGTTTTTTTAAAAAAACAAAAAAGTTAAAGAATTAATTGTTTTTTTAATGGAAATTTTTGTAAAACGTATTGAAATTTGATTCGTTTGACCCAAAAACGGTTGCACCTTGAGTCATGACACGTCAAAGTACACACACGGGGTGAAAACGGTGAGAAAATGTACCCTCTATGCTAAAAAACGGATTTTTGCTTAAAAAATACAAATTTTAGATTTTTACGGATTTGCAACCCCTAGCTATTACCCATACCCATTGAATCGCTCACCGGTGCGATCAGACATCAAGATCGGGGATGCAATAAATGCGTAAATAATAAAATTGGTTTTTTTGGGGAAAAAATCTAGGTCGAGCTAAGGTGCAATCTTTTTTCTAATAGTGCGCTCAAGGTAAGAAGGTAAAACAACCCCGCACTGCCCCGCCGCCACTTTGGGCTACCCTCCGGCTTCGGAGCGGACAGAATCGTTTTTTATTAAAAAAATCCCGTTTCCTGGGAAAAAAACGCCCGAACACTACACCGCCAGCGAGGGGTTGCCTATAACATGCATGCAAAGCGAGTGCGAAACACAAGATGCACGAGGATGGAAGCCTTGAAGAACAAACAATAATGCAATCTATTCATCGAGATGGAATGAGAATGAATTTCGAGACTTTTTTGCATTATCGGGTTTTATTCCAAAAAGGGATAGAATGGCATTTACGGTAATTTTTTTCTTTTTATAAAATTAAGTAGTGAAATTTTTGTTGGTAAATTATTTGCTAAGCTTCGTTGAATTTTTCTGCTGGCTGAACTGTTGCGAACAGTCGGGGTCGCAAAATATTTATATGATAATAATTTTTATGATGCGACCATTAATATTTTACATGTTTTGGCAGTCCGACAGCCGCCGCGCGACAAAGGGGGCGGTTTTAGTGGCGACTTTCGTTTGCAAAAAAGCAAAAAGCATAAATACACATACAATCACGACAAATAAAAATTAGTCATTACTAAATTACCAAAAATACTTATTAATAGCTATTTAATAAAATTAAAAAAAAATTATTAAACAAAATAAATAAATATAATTTTATTTATTAAATAGTGAAAGAAATAAGTTTTTTGTTTCTTTTTGAATTCTGGTATTGTATGACTAATTTTGTAAGTTGACCGTGGTATAAATATAACTTGTGTGTATAAGCAAAAAGTACGCGAAACGCCAAAAAATTTATATCCGCCTTTTGAGAGGGTCCTGCGTCCTGCGGAAGAACCAAAACTCGTGGTTATAATATTCCCGAGTCGTTATACTTATATTCCAGATTCTTTATGAGACACAACGCTACCGGACGAATACTCGACGCTATATACTCTCGCAGTGTGCGATTGTATGTGTTGTGTGTTCTAAGTGAAACATTATCAAGACATTTCTTGGATAAGTAAAAAAAACTAAAAATTTCAAAACAAATTTTAAATTATTAAATCTAATTTCACAGTCAATTATTTTGTTTGCAGGTATACACAATTATAGAGGGTGGTTTTTGACCATTTTGGGCAAAAAGGCAAAAACCCAGGTCAAATCACAAAAAAATCTTATTGCACCCATTTTGGATATACTCGTAAAATATGCACCAACACATTTTTTGCGACTTTTAAGAGTTTTTATGAGAAATATTTGGATGTTTATATTGCTGGTGGTGATTTGACGGACATTTGAAAAAATCAATTTTTGGGAATTTTTAGAGCACAATAATAAAAAAAAATTTGCAAATTTTAGGTTGTAATATGCAAATATGCGCTTATTTGAATAAATAAGACTATTATTGATATTTATTAAGTGTATAAACATAGTTATTTTCGGTTGTAAACAAATTTTGGACTTTTTCAAGCTTTTTGTGCTTTAAATCATATAAAAAATATAAAAAAATAATTTTTCTGCAGTAAAAGTGACATTTTGTCAATTACGTGCTTAAAATTATTAAAATTTGAATAGAAACGGTTTTATAAAATGATTTATAAGCACTAAAAAACAATCAATGTATTTATTCATGACAATTAGCAAACGTAATACGCTGTAGTAATTAGGCAAGTAGGTAGATGTGTACCTACGTATGAAATTAGTCTAATTGAAATCGGCATTAAGTACGCAAAGAAAGCAACGCGAGCAAACGAGCCAAGTACAACGAATTGAAATCGCTGCATCGAAATGGCATTTCAATAAACGTTTTAAGGAAGTGAGTAATGCGCAAGCAAGTGCGCAACTCGAGTAGAAAGTTGACGTCTTGTTTCGAATTAGTATAAATTACTATTAAATATAATTAAATTATCCGGTGGCCTTAATTATTGCACGTACAAGATTTTTAATTTAAAATTTTTGTCTAGCGGAAGAAAAATCGTTGTTTTCGTGCATGCAAGTTGCAAGTTTAACTTGCGGAGCGAGAAAAAAAAGTATTTTCGTCGATTTTCATCTCTCCGGCGGCGGGCCGGGAGTTTGCAGGATTTTCCATCGCGCGCGCAGCATATATATTCATAAATACATAACATATAGGAATAAATAAATAATCCATACAATTTATGTACTATTGTATATCGGGCGCGGCGATTGGCCAACGTGTGCGTCTCCCACCCGCGTACAACCGGACGCCGACATCCCCACCGTGCGCCACCAGCACAGCATCAAGGAGCAGCGCGACTACATCGCCGAAGAACTGGTCGAAGTGAGCGCGCGGTTGTATTCCATCGTGGCGTGGTGGTTCGCATCCTGCCTCGGCGCCTGCCTTCGCCTTCCTCCGAACCGGGGTCCTCTCCGGCCCGTCGCTCGCACTCCAACTCGCCAACAAAAGAGCGCGAGCAGCGAAGGTGCACGCACGTTCGCCGTCCGACCGTTTCGCGCGTTGTTTACATATCGAGGATATTTTCAGTGATAAACCCTCTGTGTGATCGGTGATCCATCTTCCGGTTTCTATATGAGTGGGTGCAAAGTAGCGAATCTGGCGGATTACAAAAGTGAAACCGTGCGGCGGTGGGTCGAGACGTCACCCACCACCCATCGCCATATGAACAATAACCTGGAGACGACGCCGAAGTCGATCAAGGGTCAACTGAACAACAACACCATCGACTTCCTAGCGCAGAGCTTCTGGCAGCGCCAGACGAAAGAGGGCATCGCCTTGGAAGACATGCCCATGTTGCTACAACAGCCCAATCCACATCTGGCCCTCGCGGGTCATCATCACCACCCGCACCATCAAAAGACCGGCGGAGCGCCACCGGGCGAGAAAGACCAACCGCTGGATTTTACCATGTCGAAGTTTAAGACGAAGGCGGGTGGTGCTGCCACCGTCGCGTCACAACTCAAACAATTGAACAGTTTGGGCGGTTTGACCAGCCTACAGAACCTGAACAGTTTAGCCGCCGCTCAGCAGCAGATGCTACTCCTGCAGAGCAACGGCGTGTACTTTAATAGTGCGGGTGTTGGGGGTGGGAATAACAATAAATTCGCGCAGCAGACGTCGCCCACGATTCAGGCGGCGAGAGTGCATAGTCCAGGCAGTGCATCATCAGGGGAAGCCGGTGTAGGCCCACCGAATTCTTCACCCAGATCAAATCCGGCTAGTCCAGGACCACTCAGAGATGGTAAGCATCAAAATAATCTACCTGTCTTTATAATTCCAACTGGATTTATTCAGATATAGAATTTATTGCGTTTTGCAAAAATATTTCTCCCAAGAGAGTAATTGCTTATAATCCTACTTAACCTATAATTTGGGGCTGTGTGTGAAGAATAAACTTTAGTATTGACCTGGCTTGTATCACAGGTATGTGAGGGGAGTGAAATTTCAAAGCAAAAAAATCAAAGAAAAACTTTGCCACCATGCGTTCTTTTATATGTAAGATTGGAAGATGCGAAGGTGGAAGGTCTATTTGCAAAGGTGCGTCCCGTTTTGCATTGTGCCGAAAAATTGTATACCACGTAAAGAACATGTAGATTAATGGTTTTGGGATATTGGTATTCAAATTTTTTCAAAAATTTTTGTAAATTTATGTGAATGTTGGTATTCATAGTCAAACTGTGAGCAGATGGTCAGAAAAAGCGTTTTTTGACAATAAAATACCAAATTTGTATGAAAACATACATGTAGATTATCGTGTAAAATCCATATAATTAATCAATTACTTAAATTAAACATGGGTCTTATGCAAATGTTATTTTTCGTTGGGTCGCTTAATATTTTAATATCCGTATTATTCGCTGTGCTGCCTTCACCATCTAACACTCCAACACATACACACAGCCGCTTCCATTAATTACAGAGTCGAAACCCCGAAATATATATAATTCATCTAATTGGTTAATTATAATTATAATACGCTAATTAAGCCTCAATTTGAACGCGCGACGGAGCCACATCTACATCTACTCATACATTGTTGCATAATGGAAGATTTTATGTTTTGGCTGGATTTGAATAAAAATATTATTATTTGATTTGAAAAATGAATTTATGCTTCTAATTTTGGTCATATGCTCAAATTGTTGGAGGGCTTTGAAAAATAATTATTTAATAAATTTCTAGGAAGTTTGAGTCGGTTTAGTTCGGGTGTTTTTTTTCTGTATGATTTTCGTCCAACTGTCTTGCAAGTGAAGCGTTGTCGGCTTGTCGGCTTGTCTGCGTACCTACCTGGCCGGTAATTTGACTTATTACTGTTACCAACAGCTCACCGACGCCGGTGTAATGACGACTCCTTCTGTTCTATTAGGTTTTGACCACAGACGCTAATGATAACACATTTTTACCACAAATTTTCGGAAATTTTTGTATTTTAAGGTTATTTTGGTTTAAGTAATTAATTAATTAAAAAATTTACGTAATTTAAATTCTACATATGACAAATATTGAGCATTTAATTATTTTAATAATTTTCTATGATAAATTCAAAGAAAAACCTAGAAAACAATAAAATTTCATAAAAAAATCATGTAAAATCAACTTTCTAGCTCATAACTTTGTTGTTAATAACTATTTTTGTTTACGGTTAACGCTAATTTGATTCTTAACTAAATGCAAATAAATAACATTCAATATAGTCACAAATGTCATTACTTTAACGTGATTAACATTCTCAAACATTCATCATCATAAAATCAAATATTGGGCAAGCGAAACACTAATTCCCAATTATAAATATAATAAGCAGTTAAAAAACATTAAAATTCTTTCAATAACCCTCTGATACTGTAAATAGGATTTATAATCTTGGCAGAAAAACGTGTTGGAAGCCTGACCAGATGCTGACCACGCGTCAATCGCTATTCTTTATGACATGCAGACGCGTCTCATTTAACTACTCAGTTCGTAATTGTACTGGTAATCCATGCGATTATTATTTAATCTGCGGCGGTGTTTAATATTTGAATATGCATATTCACCGCGCATTGTAAGCGCGACGTGTGACAAATCTCATCTGAAAGGTGCGAGATTGTGTGTAGATGCAAAGAGATGCTGGTCACGCGCGTTATGCCAAATGACAGAGCGTTTACAGTTTCATTACTTCATTATCTTAGGCCATGTTCGATGAAAGCTTACAAACTCGTTAAAACCTACTCATTATATTCAACAAGAATACTATTGGGTAATTATTATTATTTTAGGCGAAATATTTTGCTTCTAAATACCGAAAAACGTAAAAAATTTTAGAAAAAATTGAAGTTTTCTTTTAATTTTTATTAATTTTAATTTTTTTGTAGCTACAAATCGTTATTGTTGATATTGTATATTGTTTTATATATTTTGAGACCCAGTTTTGATATAAGTTGAAAATAACTCCTCAAAAGTGTAATAAAGTATTGAAATCGTGTTTTCAATGACATTTTGATATCAGACCAGATAAATTTGTAATGTTTACCTGCTAGAAAAAGAAAATATTTTTATTTTATTTATTTTGCTGGTTTACTGCTACGGGTATTATTATTTACATTTATTTATTTAATTAATTCTGCAAGTAATTAATTAAATCCTAAAAAACTTTTCTTTTTCCATTTTTAAACTTCTATTCTTTCGATTTAATTTTACGCTGACTAGTTAATTTTATTGATGATAAGATGATTTTGTGTTTTGGTAGGTTTGCCTCAATTTCCAGTGTTTTTTGTCCTTTTTCGGTTGGGCCACGAATTTGATTAGAAACTAATTAAAATCTTCAAAGCCGGCGATGATTTATTGCGTCCGCATAATGCGTTAATATCGCGCTGATATTGTGATGCTAATGGGTGTCGGTTTTGTCCGTTGTTGCGGCGAGCCTTTGCCGTCGTCCTCTGCGGTCGATCGAATTTTCTCGCGCCCCGGCCAACGGCCATTATTGGCGCGCATCTTTATGCGAGCCTTCTTCGCAGCATTCATTCATTCTTCACGGTCGCGCACGACGCTGCATACAAGTTTCATTCCTACCAAATATCACAAATTCACAATAAGCAAATTTTACACAAATTCACCACCAAAACACATTGTATATTTATATTGTGTTACATTTAGCATTACGAGTAGGTACTTTTACCTGCCCAGCCCGTTATTGATAAACTGAGCTTTTACGAGCTTCCATATTTCGACCACAACCATGCTTGATTCTCAGCTCAACTTCACTCAACCAGAATGACCTAAAAATTAAAGCACGAATTTATTACCCACCGAAAATAACTAGAACACACTGTATATTTAATTATGCGTATATGTATATACGAGTATACGAAATGTGACGCTATATGACCACAAGACAAGTTGTGAGTCGCCGGTGGTTGGAAGGAAGACGGAGGATGGAGTCTTGTGAAAGAGAGCCGGTTGCGCTGACTCATCCGGCGAATTATATTATAATGAAACAAATTGCGCCGCCGCTGCCCGCTGCCGGGCCACGGCGCTATTAATGGATTTTAATGTAATTTGCATCGCGCATCGACACTAAGATCAATACGTGCGCGCGTGAGGGCTTAAACGAAGGAAACTCATCGTGCATTATAGCCGCAGTGTTTAAGTACATCACTTTATTAAACTTGTACAACATTCATTTTGATTTTAATTCGTTTAAACTATGATAATTTTATGATAATGACTTCATTAAATTAGAATTTATTTACTGCTGGTTATTTATTTGATATTGCAGTTGTTAATTGTCCAGAATCACGGTCTAAAGTATTTTTAGGTTAAATTAAGTTAGCTTAAGTAAGGTTATATAAGGTTAAGTAACTTAATTTTACCTTTTTTATTCAATATAATATTTATTTATATAAATATTTAATAATTTTATGATTTGCAATGAAAAAAGTTGCGTAAATCATCAATTTTTCTTGTTTTGCGAATATTTTTTTATTTCTTTGATACATTTGATAAATAATCTATTCTATATATATAACAATGAATTGCTGTTCGTTAGTCTCGCTAAAACTCGAGAACGGCTGAACGGATTTATCTTATCTTGGTCTTGAATTATTCGTGGAGGTCTAGGGACGGTTTAAAAGGTGAGAAAAATTCGAATAATTGCCGGGAAAATCCTCAAAACAGCTCTTTTCTATAGAATAAAATTTGACATTGAGATTCAATCATAGTTATAGTTAAATAGTTGAATTCGAGAGGGCGCGCTGAAGTGCATTATTGACAAAACTTTAAATAATTAAATTCTTTAAATTAAAATTGCTAATCTTATTGATAGAATTGACTCTTACTACGAGTATGCCTAGAACAAGAGAGTAAAAACGAATTGCATTTTTATTAAACACTGCCGGAACGAAGTTGCGGGCAACAGCTAGTTTGATATAAAATGCAATTTTATTATTTTTTTATTTATTTTTTTAATAAAAACTGAACTTTTTCGTTGTGTATTGCGTAGATCGTTGTACTGAACCCATAAAAGTCCTACCATTTCCTAGAAAGGAAAAAAAATTAAGTGAGGTCATGGTCTCCCTCGGAATTGCACCAAATTAACTAAGTAGAGCTGTGTAGTAAATATATGACACATGACACATTTGATGCGCACATGAATATAATCGCTGTAAACGAGCTGAAACTTGTCGTGTTCGCGCGGCGCCTTTGATGAATTTGACGAATTCGAAAATTCGGACGCTTTATGTGCGCGCTGCGGAGGAATATAATTTCCGAGCGCTTTAATGTAAACTAAACCGTATTACTTCATTGCGCTTGGCGCTACCAAACTGCTATACACTCGCGCGTACTTAAGTCACAGTTTGAGACAGAGGCGAATGAGAATTACGGAGTGCACACGACGAGTACTAATGAACGGCTGAATGAGAATATCATGGTAATTTCTATGTTAACTGGTAAATAAGTCGTTTTATGCACGAAACACACGAACAGGCACGAACAAACGCCGCATTACGAAAAATTACAGAATCATCAAGTTATAGACAATTAGATACACACAGAGACGAATTGTGGAACCTAACCTAACTTTAGTTTGGTGTTGGTTAAATTTTAAGAGATAGCCATCTACAACCGCAAGCGAGCAATTAATCAAATAGGCAATTAATTTTGCATAACATAATGTGAAATAATTGTATCTAATTTAGAGGCGTAAGACAATGCGGTGTGGTCCCCACCAGCTTTCGGATGTTTTCAATGAAATGCGGCGGCGGGCGGCGTGAAAGAAATGAAGTGCGAGTCGCTGATTCCGAATTACACACGGAGAGAAACACAGTTAAGTCAAGACAAGTGTCAGACCAACATTGGAGGTTAAGTTATTAATACTATAAGTGTATGTGGATAAATTAAATATTTGGTAAGTTAAAATATCAACCAACTGCTGTGTGCAAAACTCAATCTGTGTTTCCGACGTGTTTCATGTCGGTGGTTTGCAGTTAAATGCACGCAATGATTTTGTGGCTTGTATTATGCAAATTTCCCGTGTGGCGCGCACGAACTGATCTGCATAAACGCCGGTAAACACCGGGTAACACTTCGGTACAGGTGTATTACAGGTGTGTAATGCGCGCACGCGCACCCGATGATTGTAAACGGTAGCTGGTAACCGATACGGATGCAAATAAAGACATTGGTGTTGTCGAAAGCTAAATTATTACTTTTCTTGTTTCAGAAAACGGTCCATCACCTATACCTGCAGATAAACCATACGGTGAGTTTTTTTTTTGAAGAAATAAATCTCAATGAAAATCATATTCAGCGATAATCTGATAATATTCCATGAGCGTTTTATAAATTGGCCACCATCACCCTTCGGGAACCCTTGAAATTCACTAGTCTTCAGACATCCCCTTTTCTACAAAACAAGTATGACTACAAGTATGCGTAGGTAGTACGAGTATTTTTTAGTTAACCCCCGGCTGTGTTCAACCCTCATAAAGAATGTGTTTACATTCGTGTACGGCGAGGGCGGTTTTCTACCCCTATGTCAGTCAAAAGTGTGCTCCGCCAACAGGTTATGTTGTAGAATAGAATTTTCTTTTAATTCTGCACGTTCGGAACGGGGAACGTGTCTATTCTTATATTATAATAACAAACATACTCGTACAACGTTCACGTGTCTGAATTTTACCTTTTTGGAGGTTAGGAGTTGGAAAATGAATTAAAATCCGTGTTAGTTGTATTTCTACGTTTGGTTGGCTCTTTACGTTTTATTGAAGTTAATGTTAATGTTGATGGCTTGGTACAAGAATGCGTCCGGTCGCCATATTTGGCAGAACACGTCGTTGCGCCGTTGCTTTCAGCGAATCGCTTGCAAATGCAAACTTTACGACGGTGACTTTTCTATTAATTAACTGTTTTCGTGTACAGCACCAGCACCATACGGTCGGTCGTCAGCCAACAACCGGATATTGTCTTGATTATTATTTGTCTGACATTTTGAAATTTTGGTGCTTTTTTTGATTTTTTGAAGTCAGCTGCAAAGTCGTTTTACGAGTTAATGTAGGTACTTTTACGCGTAGTGGACCTGGACCCATGTTTTTGCCAAAAATCCTCACGCAGGTAAAATTTATTTGGGGTGCACGCACAACGCACAAATTAGGCAAAAATTCAATTCCTAGGAATTTAGCAATAGAAAACCTCAAGCAAAAAATACGAGGGTGGAAAAAACGCACAGGTAAAATTTTAGCTAACAAAAAATGTGAATTTTAAGAGAACATGCATGTTGCAGAGATAATATTATACAGGGTGATTTATAAAAGAAAAAATTGTGATTTTGAGAAATTTTTATAAAAGCAGTAATTTTGTACACAAAATTTCGGCTACTTGTTTACGCAATAATTTGTTGCACCCGAATTTTTTGCGCCCCACACCTTGATGATAGCCGTAAATTTTTTCCTTGCAATCATTATTTTTGCATTATATTACCTACATCTCATACATGATTATGCATTACGTATCCACTGGACTTGGTAATTATGCCAAAAAAATGCGATTTTATTCTAGAACTGTTTTCGACGTCTGCACTCACCAACAACACAGCTTTATTTGAGTGAAAGTTGTAAAATTAAATATCAAACGACTTGTGTCGCTCGTCGACACGATGATGATTATATTTATATTATATATTCTATTAAATTTTCTATTTTTGGTGCCGACTGCAAAGAACTTTAACGAATCGTTAACGCCTTAATGTCTCGAATTAACTCGCGGCGCGAATAAACAACACTCAACAGCAATCACAGCAGCGCGAGCGTAAAAACATTTTCAAAGTGAAAAGACAAAGAGCCGATGTGCACAAACATCTTAGTTAAGCAAAAAAAAAGTAAACGCGACACTTCCTGTAAGAGTCCATCTACACACATTCAACATGCACATACAAAGATTCGGTAATCAATTTTTAATGACGGTTTGTTTATAATCACCAACAAAAAATTGGTTTTTAAAAATTTTATAGAATTTTGTTGTAAAAAGTAAGGCAATAAGTAAAAACAGGTGTATTTGATGTTTCTTTACTTGACCGAATCATTTTCGAGCAATTATTTTTTGGCAAAAGTTGTTAACAGTAAAAATTTAATTCGATGCTCATTGTTCGCGTTACCTGCGATGATTATTGAGTTCATTTTTTTCGCTCCTTGCTGAATTCAAACGCGTGTCGATTTTTTTGCACCCACATATCCGTTGCGGTGCGCCGTCTGGTTTCGCTGGCTGCCCTCAATGGTAATATCATTACTCGCCCTTCTGCCGTGGCTGTAGTCAAATTTGTCAAGCCACCGTGACGCCGCATTCCGTTTACCAAAGTACACACATTGCACGCGTGAAAAAAAATATGAACAACATCCACATATACGTAGACGGTTTAAATTTGACGAGTGTGTGGAGAAAAAGAAGGCACAAAAAATTTATTCAAGTTGAAATAAAAAGTTGAGTAGTGTAAGACTTGACTTCTATACGACGTATATGATTAAATTAAAATGTTATGCTCCTAGGTGTGTTACGGCATCATTGTCGCGCGATGGCGATATTAAAAACAAATTAGTTTAATTCCGACTTCACGTGGTGTGTATCCTTCGAGCGCATGTGGGCTGGCAGCGCTTTACTTGATACATTAATTTCGTACACACCGACGCACTCAACGTCGTTTTCTACATCCTGATATGAAATAGGAATATATATTATACAACGTGAATTATATTCGGAATTATAAATATATGTTTTAAATACAAAAAAAAATGAATTAAAAGAGTTTATAAGGCTCCGTAACTTTTGACTAATTTTGGTTTTTAAGTAATAAACACATAGAAATTGCAAGAAAAATAGGAAATTTTATAAAAATATAGAAAAAAGACTCAAAAATGGTTTAAATATATAAAATACTAGCTGTTGCCCGCGACTTCGTTCCGGCAGTGTTTAATAAAAATGTAATTCGTTTTTACTCTCTTGTTCTAGACATACTCGTAGTAAGAGTCAATTCTATCAATAAGATTAGCAATTTTAATTTAAAGAAATTAATTATATAAAGTTTTGTCAATAATGCACTTCAGCGCGCCATCTCGAATTCAACTATTTAACTATAACTATGATTGAATCTCAATGTCAAATTTTATTCTATAGAAAAGACCTGTTTTAAGGATTTTCCCGGCAATTATTCGAATTTTTCTCACCTTTTAAACCTTCCCTAGACCTCCACGAATAATTCAAGACCAAGATAAGATAAATCCGTTCAGCCGTTCTCGAGTTTTAGCGAGACTAACGAACAGCAATTCATTTTTATATATATAGATTTAAAAATTACTCAAAATTTAAAATACCAAACCTGATTGTCAACTTTTTTCTTTATTTTAATAGTGAATTAAATACTTTTTCCCAAAATTCTTAAAAAAAATTGATTCCTGAAACTAATATATTTCTTTTCGAGTGTTTGGAAGTTTTAAAAGTATCAATATCATTGCATCAACTTGAAGTCGATGTTTGTAAGTTTGAGCGTGAGTGCGCCGGCAATTTTCTGTAATCAAAATTGACATTAATAACGCCATTACACACATGTGCGCCTAATAATGTATGTATTATATCCTAGTCTAATGTATCTATTTTATTTCTATTTCTATTAATGTTTAATGTATTAGCTTGGCGCGGCAGCGGCTCGCAATTCGTATGATTGCGTTTGGCGCTTTTTGCCGGGCGCTGATTACGTCTGTTTGTCGAGCGAGCGAACAAATGCGGTAATAATCGTATGCAAAACTACCGCGCGCATTAATGTCGGACGCGGACGCCGAGATGATTCCTGTTTCGTCGTTTGTCATTATTTCTCATCATTTCGCATGATGCGGACCTATACTGCATGTTTTGGAAATTAAAACATTTGGATTGAAATGAGTATGCTAATCATCAACAAGTTTATTCAAACATTTTGTAGAGTATGCGGTTTGGTAGATAATGCTTTAATAAGTACACCTTGCTGTGGCAAATTATTTGCATTCGAATGTCTGATGTTTTGCAATCCCGACAAGCAAATTAAAGAAATTACGCTTGTTGCGAGCATAAAAATATGATGTGTAGAGCTAATTAAAATAAAATAAAAATAAATTTATGCTTTTGCATTTTTGCATGTAATTAGCAAACGGCACATTTAGTAGACCATGACTGTTGCACTGTTGCACTCTTTATATGTCACCAATTTTAAATAAATAAATTTTACACGTCAATATCTATCAAAATAATATAAATTTAATATTTTTACAAGCATCACAGGCCGTAAAATTTAATTACAAATAAATTTCTTAAAAAATTTTACGAAATATTATCAGAAAAAGTTTTTGTGCAATAAAAACAAAAATTTAACGAAAAACTTTTATTTTGCGCGTCTGATTGCAGCGATTGTGTATCCTCATGGTACCCTGATGTTGAGATTATTCCAAATTCCATTTTTAACTGTCCAATTAAAATATGTTGAGATAGGTTAGTAAAACTAATGGCACTTCCTTGGCGCCCGTTAGATGTCCCCAAATTCGATTTGTAACAATGTCGAATTCAATGGGCTACTTTATAGCTGTATTAAAGATTAAAACCAAGCCACCAAGAAGCTAAAAGGTGGGCCAACACACCAGGTACAGGTAGATAACTAACCGACTCGTGCAACTTGTTGTGCCTCACCTGCAACACCATATACCCTCTTACAATTTCTGCCCATGTTCGTGAAGGAGGTGGAGATGCATGCGTGTGTGCGATGCATTCTCACGGTACCTCAGTTTTTTTTCTTCCTCTCTCTCCGTGTACGAGTATGAATATTAGCCGACTGCCCGACGAGTGTGTATCGTGCATGAGTAATGATAGAAAATGATACGAGCGCATATCAAATGGGATTTAATTCCGAGAACTTTTCGACTTTCCTAGGTCATACCACGGCATAATAAAAGTAATAATAGAATATAACTTCGGTAATTAATATGATCAAAATTATTTTGTAATAGAAACAGACATGCAATCGATTTCAACATGTAAATTTAAAAAATTCATATTTTGCACACAAGTGAATAAAAATCAGTATTTGCTTAAAGTTAGGTTAAGTGAGGTTAGTGGTTATACTACTTGTTACACATAAATAAATAATTTATAAGCATATACAAGACATGAGTGTAAACATGTTTTGTGTCACGCTTTCTTAATTTTGCAACGTTTTGCAACCAATAAATGCAAATTATTGCAAAAAAT